GTGTCTGTACTGCACGCTGCTAGTTTAGTGCTACTTCTTATTGTGCCGTGCTCTCTAAAATAAATTATTGAATCAAGTGTTTACTTATGTAGGTAAATGTAGATGTTTAACAACCTGTTAAACTACACCAGAATGTAGGAAATGTCATCTACTTTATTCAAAATTTTCTGCGGGAGGACCCCCCCACCAGTGTCCCCCCCACCACATTATGAATGCTTCTGACGCCAATGGTCGTCACCATGTCATTCAAGCCAAGAGTCATTATCAGCACTGGGGGCTGTGCACCCCTAAAGGGCAGATTCTAGAATCGCCCCTGCCTTACACTCAATGACAACTTTCTAAGAGTTTCCTGAAAATTTGTCCTGTGAAATATTATGCTAACAGGCTAATATGATTCACATCAACAGTTAAAAATTACTGTATCACACAGTATGAGTTAACACCAAAATTTAGCCCATGTGCTGTAAATCTGGCTGAGTTAAGTATATTTTTTGTGCTTGATCAGGTTGATGTGCACCGAAAATTAATTAGTCCACTGGTTTATGAAACATTTTGCTAACGCTACAGACAAATGGACAGACGGGGCAAAAACAGTTTTGCTTTGGCGGAGAATGACAAAAAAATAAGTACAACCAATCTGAGTTTTTTGGTTTGGTTTTAATTCTTCTTTTTGGAAACAATGCCGTCATTGTCAGTCACTTTATTAGAAATCACAAGCTCAAGTCATCCTGCTCTCAGATGCTCAGTCAGGTTTGGAGCCTCGACACCAACAGGTGGGAGGTCTCACGTCAGTCACACACTCTTTCTTCAACCTGCTCTCACGCACACATAATTACACTTGCACTCGAAGCCGCTGTTCTCCAACAAAAGGCATCTGCACAAGATTGTAGCGTCACCACGGCAACGCTGCCTACAGCCGAAACAAAAAAATAAAAGCCGAGGTGGTGCCATGGCAGAGCCAGTTTTTTTTAGTCTACTATTGCTTCTTCAGGATGGTGGATGGTGTGTGGAAAGCTCACATTTTTGCATATCAATATGATAAGAAGACCCTGATGAGCTGCGATGGCACAGAGAGCGCAGCTGATATTTACAGTACAGGCTGTAACACACGCACACACACAAGCACACGCACGCTAAATTTCAAACATGCTTCCCAGAAGCAGTGAAATGGTAACATGTCTTAGACATTGTATAACATGTCAGAACAAAATATATCATACACAGAGCTACAATGACAAAAACTTCAAAATAGCAACTTGCTCTTTTGGATAAAATCATCACTGGACAGGACACAAATGTGAAAATCCAACATTAAAAAAAACAAGTAAAGCTAATTTATGGACCCAGTAAGTGACCTTGATGTGATTCAGATTCCTCCTGCAGTCCCTTTTCATTAAACAAGTGCACTTTTCGAAACACTGTGCTGACACACATCCATATTCTACTCCTCTTTGAATGTCTTTTACATGTATAGTTTACATGTTTTTTTCTACAGATTCCCCAGAAAGTTGAAACATTGTGTAAAATGACAATAGAAACAGAATGCAGCGATTTGCAAGTGTCTGCATTTTGTTCGCAATGGAACATAGTAAGCATATCAAATGATTAAACTAAGATAATCTACTACTTTAATGGGGAAAATTAGGTAATTTTGAATATTATGATAGCAACGTATGTCAAAATGTTTGGGACAGGGCCATATTTATCTTTGTGAAGCAGTCCCTCTTCTATTAACAAAAGCCTTTAAACATCTTGGGACAAAGGAGACCTGGAGATTTTGGAGGAAAATGTCCTATTCACTTCAGTTGTTCTGGCTGTGGAACGCTTGACCAGCTCTTTACCCTCACTAGGGTCCTCGAGGGGTCATGGGAGTTTGCCCATCCAGTCTACATGTGTTTGTGGACTTGGAGAAGGCTTTCAACCGTATTCCTCGAGGTACACTGTGGAGAGTGATCCATGAGTATGGGATTGGGGCACGTTATCACGGGCTGTTCAGTTCCTATACTAGTGGTGCAAGAATTTGGTTCGCATTGCCGGTAGTAAGTTGGACCCCTTCAGGGTGGGAGTTCAACTCCGTCAGGGCTGCCCGTTGTCACCGATTCTGTTCATAACTTTTATGGACAGAATTTCTCGGTGCAGCCAGTTGGCGGAGGGTTTCCGGTTGGGTGGCCTCAGGATTCCATCACTGCTCTTTGCAGATGATGTAGTCCTGTTGGCGTCATCGTGCCGTGATCTCCAGCTCTCACTGGAGCGGATTACAACCGAGTGTGAAGCGGCTGGGCTGAAACTCTGCACCTTCATATCTGAGGCTATGGTCCTCAGTCAGAAAAGGGTGGATTGCTCTCTTTGGGTCGAGGGTGAGGTTCTGCCTCAAGTGGAGGAGCTCAAGCATCTTGGAGGTTTTGTTCATGAGTGAGGGAAGAATGGAGCATGAGATTGACAGACAGATTAGTGCAGCATCTGCAGTATTGTGGACCTTGTGCCGATCCGTTGTGGTGAAGAGAGAGCTGAGCTGTAAGGCAAAGCTCTGTTTATTGGTCAGTCTACATTCCTACCCTCACCTATGGTCACGAACTCTGGGTAGTGACCGAAAGAATGAGATCGTGGATACAGGCGGTTGAAATGAGTTTCCTCCGCAGGGTAGCTGGACTCTCCCTTAGAGATAGGGTGAGAAGTTCAGTTATCTGGGTAAGATTCAGAGTAGAACAGCTGCTCCTCCACATCGAGAGGAGCCAGTTGAGGTGGTTCGGGCATCTGATAAGGATGCTCCCTGGACACCTTCCTCGGGAGGTGCTTCGAGCATGTCCAACTGGGAGGAAACCCCGGGGAAGACCCAGGACACGCTCAAGAGACTATGTCTCGGTTTCCACAGCTACCTCTTCCATCTCTTCTGAGAGGACTCCAAGGCATTAGTCTCTGTTGGCCTGGAAATGCCTTGGAGTCCTCCCAGAAGAGCTGGAAGAGGTAGCTGTGGAAAGAGATGTCTGGTAGCTCAAGCTGCTGCCCCTGCAACCCGACTTTGGAATAAGCAGAAGATAATGGATGGATGGATGGACTTCTGTTGTAGGATTCTAGCTGTTCAACAGTCCTGGGTATTCTTTGCTGTATATTTTTTTATGATGCACCAAATGTTTTTATTTGGTGAGAGGTCTGGATTGCAGTAGACCAGTTCAGCGCCTGGACTCGCCTACTTCAAAGCCACGCTGCTAAAAAGGATCCAGTACGTGGTTTAGCATCATCTTGCTAAAATATGTAAGGCCTTCCCTGAAAAAGACATTTGAATAAGAGCATATGCTGTTCTAATACCTGCATTTACTTTTTTTTGTTTTGCAAATATGATGTATTTCCAGATTACAAGTTGCCCTGCTAGTGGTACTACTAGTACCCCCTACTTTTGGAAAAGAAGGATGCTGAACTGTGTGCTGACAATAGATGATAAAACTTTACTGATCCCGCAGGAAATTGTTACCTAGTATCCAAAAAAATATTTAAAACATTGATCTATCTGACCCCAGAGCAGTTTTCATCTTTGCCCAAGTCTGTTTTAAAGGCATTTTGAACCAAAGACAACAGTGTTTCTGGATGGTGTTCACTTATGACTTCTTCTTTGTATGATAGAGCTTTAATCAGCATTAATGGACTGCATGGTGGGTTGTGTTTACGAACAATGATTTGTGAACGTGTTCATTAGTCCATGCATTGAAGTCCGGAACAGAATCAGACCTGCTTTTAATGCAGTCCTCTGAGGGCCCAAAGAGTGGACACTCACTTTTTCTTTGTTCAGAAAGATTTCTCCAGATTCTTTAAATCTTTTGATGATACCATGATGTGTAGAGGATTCGGTCATTTTAATTTCCCATCAAGGAACATTATTCTGAAACTGTTTCTTTTATTCAAACAGTTTTTCTCAGACTAGTGAACCTCTGCCCGTTTTTATTTCTACGAGATTCAGTCTCCCCAAAATACTCCTCCAGCTATGTTTTAATTGTAACATTTACTTTTTATGGCATTTTGTTGTCCTGGCATGACTTGTTAAAGATGTGTTGCTTTCATCAAATTCAAATTTACAATTTTTTCCCCAAAAAGTTAAATTTTATATGTTTACTATGTTCAATTGCAAATAAAATACAGGTTTTGGAAGTTTTCCAAATCAATGTATTCTGGTTTTACACAACACACATTTGTGGAATTGGGATTGTACTTTTATATCAGAACACAGTAAATTGACTGTTTTTACTGATGTGGAAAAGTGAAGATAGAGCAGAAAGTTTGGCGATTCCTCAGGTTAAAGCTGATCTGATCATCAGCTATACTCAGACTTTTGCCAGTTTTACTGTGATAGTCAAAATGGGGGTGAGCCTGACCTTCTTTCATTGAAAATAAAGTTTGAGAAAAATAAAAAAAGGTTTTGTATTTTTTCATGTATTTTCCTAGCAGACCCAGTGTTTTTTAACATATGGAAAAGTCTGAGTAAAATAATTATACTACAGTTTAAGGTTGATTGATTGTAAACTACAAAAGCTTTTATTCTGATGAAAATGTTTATGTAGTTTTTCTATATAATAGTGATTAAAGTGATAACATTAAAACAAAGTCCCAGAGGACTGAAGATTACGCAAGACACAGTTATGATCCTTATTACTGATGCTGGCTATTTTCTTTACCTTTTTTATGATACAGAATTAAATGCTGATGACTTATGAAGAAAAAAACAATAAATAATAAAAAATATTTTCTGTTTTCAAGACTCACCCTCCTAAAAATACACATGGCTACAAATATATGAACATGAATCCATATCACAAACTGGAAACTTATCCAGGAAGTGTGACTAAAAACTGGCTTTGAAATTCATAATTTACAATATAAATAAGTATAATGTTGATTAAAGACACCTGACAATATGACAAAACATACTCTAACTCAGCACCATGAATGTGGAAGATCAGCCGCTGATGTTCCCGGGTCTCTGACCCGAGACGAGGCTCGGTGTTTGGGGCTCAGATCTTGGCTTCAGGACTCAAATCTAATGGGAGAAAAGACGAGCGGATCCTTTGAGCTTCATTAACACACAGATAACCAAAAGCCTTGTTGTACCATTCTGGAGATCTTCCCCTGGAACACAAATACAAAACGAAAAAGTCTATTAAAAACATGAACATGAATAAAGGCCATGCATTCCTTAAATCAGTGGTTCCCAACCCAGGTCCTTGAGGAACACCATCCTGCATGTTTTAGTTGTTTCCCTGCTCAAACACACCTGATTCAGTGATTTAATTACTTCCTCATGTTCTGCAGAAGCCTGTTTATTACACATTAATTAAAATCAGGTGTTGGAGCAGAGAAACAACTAAAACATGCAGGATGGTGTTCCTCAAGGAACAGGGTTAGGAACCCCTGCCTTAAATGAATGCATATTGCCCACTGAACATAAGAGGATCTGCGGTGGAAGTGGTCTCCAGCTACAAGTACTTGGGTGTACACATGAATGACAACCTCAGCTGGAGCAACAACACCACCAGCCTGATCAAGAAAGCTCATCAGAGACTCTACTTCCTCAGACGGCTGAGGCGAGCTGGTCTGGGAAGCTCAGTCCTCACCTCCATCTACAGGTGTGCAGTGGAGAGCATCCTGTGCTCGAGCATCAATGTGTGGCATGGAGGCTGCACAGCTGCAGAAAGAAAAGCTTTGCAGAGAGTGGTGAAGGCTGCACAGAAATCTGTTGGAATCAGTCTTCCCACCATCACAGACATCTACACCTCCAGATGCAGGAAGAGGGCCACCTGCATCATGAAGGACCCCACCCACCCAGCACACACACTTTTTGCCCCACTCCCCTCAGGAAGGAGGTTAAGGAGCATTAAGTGTAGAACCACTAGACTGAGGAACAGCTTCTACCCTGAGGCTGTTAGACTCATGAATCTCTAACTAGAATAATCACTGTGAAAAACCATATCATGTTGCTGCTGATCTGTTTCATGTTGCTGCTGATCTGTTTCAATGTTGATGTGTTCATGCGTGCACATCTGCTCACAGACTCATGTTCATGTTTGTGCTGATGTTCAATGTTTTATGTTATGAGTGCTTAGTGTATATTTAGTTGATGTTTTTCTTAGTTCATATCTTAGATGTCATTACTGTTTTTCTTATACATTTTATTGTTGGATGTAACTGGGACCCTGCGTACATAATTTCGCTCCACCACATGTACCACATGAGGTGCGAATGACAATAAAGAAACTCTGACTCTGACTCTGACATTTCCTGTCATAGATTTAAACTATAACATCTTGAAGTTTGATGGTCTTTCTGGTCCAGTCTTAACAAAAACAATATTCTAATCTCAAGAAATGTTTCGTACAACCCTTTAGCATTCAGAGAACATATTGTTGATGACTCTCAGCTACTACCACACCATAGTTTGGACAATATGTTTGAGAATAACTGATGTAGCTCTTTTATGTTTTCTAGGTTTAAGTAGCTGTGTCAGCCATCTTGACTTGAGTTGAAGTAAGGCACTTGTAAATGTACATCCAGTGATCATTTTCTGAAGTTTCATTAAAGTCTGTCCCATAGTTTATAAGATATTATGCTAACAGGCAGGGAAACGTCATTTAAACACACAGACACAGGCAATTCCATTATTGCCCACCTTTTGCCTTTTTGTGGCAAGAGTTTAAAACATGTGAAGCCCTCCCACCTGAGATCAACTCTGGAGATGTGCATGAGCCTGGTCCTCCCCATCCCACAGGGTTCGAGGAGGTACTGTGACTCCATCACAACCCCCCTCACAGCTCCGGTGCGTGGACTGTCCTCATGCTCAACAGACTCGCACACCAGTGCACAGGAGCCTTTACACACGTCTGTACGCCATGATCTGAGTGGGCAGAGAGACAGCAGGAGACAAGCGGTTTATTCTGGCTGCAAATTCTAACATAATAATTTTCTAATTGAATCGTTAACTATTTAAAGAAGGTACCTTAGTACCACATAGTCACAAACGGGCTGAGGTGCCATGTTACAGCAGGAGTAATAATATACATCCGTCTGTCTGTCCAGGGTCTCCAGGATCTTCTCCTGCTGTAGTTCAGTGTGCCACAGCGTCCGCTCTCTCAGCAGCCGCTGCAGCACCTCAGAGGGGGCGGCCGACACCTCGACAGAAACTCGCCACCGTCTTAAAGGGTTACCATCACCAACCTTGAACATCAAAAGGTGAACATGACAGAAGATGTGTTGAAAGGTACTTTTGCTTTTATGTTCCCATTTTCAGCCACTTCTACCAACCAGTGACATAAACATCAGTCGAGGAGTGTCATCACTTTTATCTGATGTAATAGATTTGTAAAAATAAAGCAAAATATTAATCTAAAAATCTCATCATAATGCAAGTCGGCGACCTCCCACCTTTTTAAACGCAAGTTCTGTGTGGTCAGAAGACGGGCGGGACACCCAGCCTTTGCCTTTATCTTTGGCTTCTTTCAGCAGGTTCTGGATCAGCCTTTCTAAGTGCGCATGATAGGAACTTTCCTCGTCCTCTTCTTCCACTTCTTCGTCAACTTCCTCCTCCTCGTGAGTCTTGTACAGCTCGTCCAGTGGGGGTACCATCAGAGCAGCCTCCATGTAAGACTTTCGAGACTGGGTCACCATTTCCTCTGGGATCTGAGCACCAAAAAAACAAAAGCACAAAAGTTGTGCCCCAATGAATCGACTCAGGCATTAATTATGTTATTAAAACAGAGAACATTGTCTTTTAAATGGTGTAAGGGCTGTTTCTTAGCTCACACATTCAACCTGTTTAATGTAAACGGCTACATTTTACTCGTGGGGTAATGATGGGCTTGTAGCAATGCTGTCCTGCAAGAAACACTCATCTAAAATAAAGCTACATTATTATGAGCTCTGAAAATTATCTTAAAAGTGTTGTGAGATTACATTTTTCAGATAATCCAAGATTTCTTTTATAGGAGTATTTTTATTTTGAGAGGTAGAAGATAAATCTCAAGCAAAAAAATATTTTCACTGGTCATTATATGAAATGACAGTACAGTAGTCCCTCGCTACTTCGTGGTTCGTTTTTCGCGGACTCGCTCTATCGCGGTTTTTCAAAATAAGATTGGACATGACACACAATTGGCTGATTGATGGATGAGCCGCACGATCGGCATGGAATTTTTATTTAAAATGAATTATTTTAAATTATTTAGCATCTGCTGCACCTGTGTGCAGCCCACACTGCAGGACAAACTTCCTCCTGCAGCTCCCCCCCACTCCTCTGTGATCTCCTTTCTGCGAGGAAAAGTGGGCATGGCCGAGAGTGCAGCGTGCAGCCACGGCAGAGAGGAGTTCTTGACATTCTGTTTTTTAGAGCATTATATATATATATATATATACACACACAGTATATACATTAAATACTAAAATAAACTACTACTTACTACTTGTACTACTAAGCCTACTTTGCGGTTTTTCACTTATCGCGGGGCTTCAGGTTACAGATCCCCCATGATAAACAAGGCACTACTGTAAAGAGAGAATGACAGGACCAATCCTTAAAAGAATGCACATTGCCCACCACCAAAAAGGCCAAAGCTTTAAATGAAGATGTTCAAGAGTTATAATCGTTTTCATGTTTACCAAAGTCAGTTACTTGTGCCAGCCATCTTGAACTGGATTGACTCCATAAGTTCATCAATTGCAGAAGCAGCTCCAATAAATATTTTCTGAGAGTTTCATTTAAAGTTTCATTAAAGCAACAAACAGATGCAGGCAGGTGCATTATCACCCTCCTTTCACGGCAGCAGGGGGGAAAAAAACATCAAGCAGTATATATAAACTAAAAAGAACAAAATCGGAACGTTGGGTTTTAGTTTTTGATTGTATTTCTTTTACTGTGTTTAACTGAATTGTAATATTTTTGGTAGGTCCAGTTTTACTCTGATCATTTAATGTCAAATTGCTCTCTTGAGGTAAAAGGAAAAATGTCAAATGATGCTGGTAAAAAAAAAGAAAGCAGAATAATCCAGTCTATTTTTTCTTTGTTTCTGACAGTAGCATTTTTTTCTTCTGTTTTCTGAGCATTCACAGTTTTAGAACCAAGCTCAGTCAACAAACTGTGTCCTTAAATAACACCGGCACAGGGATTTTCATGGCTGGCTGTTAATGTCCTATCTTCTGTTTTAGCTGTTAAAGAACAGAACTAACTATTCACCTAGTTTAATTCTGACCTGAAATAGATGCTGGCACTCAATGATCATGTGTGCCAGACCCTGAGTGGCAGCCAGGTTCTCGTTCAGATCCTTCTGATCCGGCCGACCGGTGGTGTACTTCCTCTGGATCGACCTTAAGGAACAAAAACAAAACAAAAATTGAAGAACAAACTGAAACTAGAGATTACATATTAACCAAAAGCTTTCATTTTTATACACGAGACCATGTATTAGCTGTAAAAGTTATACTAACTGATAATGCTTGAACAAAAGCTACTACACAGTAATAATGCGTTTGTAGTTAGTTGATTTATTCCATCATTAGTTTGTTCCTATAGTCACACCTTGGTGAAAGTGCGTCATTCTTCAGGATGCTGAGGTGGAAAAGCGATGGCCCTAAACAAACGGCCAGGTTCATCGGTGTCATCTGGTTCTCCTCCACCAGGGAGGTGACATCACGCAGGAAGTAGAGCAGCGTCTGCAGAACCTCCCTATTTTCATCCGGTATCAGCAAAATGGCCGCTCTGACCGCCTGTAGCCTCTGCTCCTTGGGAACATCTGATTAAAAAAATTGAAATGAAAATGAGCTTAAAGTCTTAAAGATAAAAAAAATACAGTAAATTTGTGAACATTAAAGATTGAGCGCTGTTTCTGGTATTTGTACAATTTATCGGTGCTCTGGAAAACTGATAATTAAATTTCCTGTTTTGTTTGTTATATATTTCTTTGCTGACAACTTTAAGCTGCTTCAAATTTTGTTATAGTTTTCTTCTAAAGAGTCAGACTTTGAATTTCTAACCAATAGTTCTTGGCCACTCTGATGATCTTTCAAAGTTTTTCTTGAATCGTTGGTTGATTTTTGACTCATTTTTAGTCCAGTCCTTTCACTGCCTGACCACCCCCCCCCCCGATGAAAAAATGTAAACAAAAATTTAAAAAATAAATCAAATATCTAACAGGATCTAAAGCAATAATATCTTATAAGTCAAGTTTTCAGCTAGTAATGCTTTGGTAATCACCTTGTTAGTGCTAAAATACTTTTTTATGTGTCGAACAGTTTAATTTTTTTTAAATTGTAGAATTAAATGAAGAAATGGGAACAAAACATGTCTTTGTTACAGGCTCAAGGTTAGCTAAAGATCCAATGTTCAACTGACTCAGTCATCTGAAAGATGGACTGAGGGCACAAAGCTGCTGCTATAAGCGCGGCCCTCTTATTCTTATTCAGAATAATATTTTTGCTGAGATGGGAAAAGGGAAGAAAACATTAGGAGAGACGGTATAAAAAAGATCTCACACCTTGTCCTAGACAGGGCACGATTTGAGGCATTAAAAAAAAAAAAAACTACCACAGCATAGCACATAAATAGACGTGATACATGTACATACTGTATAGGCCGGTGAAGACATTGAATTTTTTTCTCTTAAGTGATGAAGTAACATTGTTTATTTCATTAAGTTTAGGAGTCTTTTTATGCTTAAATAACTTTTACAATTAAGCAGTTTAACTAACAAATGCCATGACTGAAAGTTAATGTACCCAAAACAAAAACTACTTTGTAGACCAGGGTGCCTGAAAATATGAACTGTTCATACTTAGCAAAAAAAACAACCCAACAACTTCCATATAGAATAGTGCAGTGGTTCCCAACACCGGTCCTTGAGGAACACCATCCTGCATATTTTTTTTGCTTCCCTGCTCCAACACACTTGATTCAGGGATTTAATTACTTCATCAAGTTCTGCAGAAACCTGCAAATCACAAAATCATTCAAATCAGGTGTGTCATAGCATGAAAACAACTAAAACATGCAGGATGGTGTTCCTCAAGGATCAGTGTTGGGAACCACTGGAATAGTGGTTCCCAAAGAAGATTAATGCCACATTTTGTCATAATTGTCAAAGAATATAAAAAAAACACCATAATGTTGATATTTTGTGGGTTAGAAGCTCAAATGTCTGGGAACCACTGACAGTGCAGACAAACTACTAAAAACACGACTGAGGTGACGTACACTGGTAAATATGCAGGAAGGTTTCCCCAAGCTTGCTTGTAAGCACGGGCTCAGGCAAATCCCTGAAAAACTGCTTGACCATGTCGGCCACATCGTAAGCCGACTGATCCTCGTAGCTCACATAGTCGGGACAGAACTCGCACTGTTGCCTCAGAGCCTGGATCCGAGACTTCACACCAGACTTACGGAACAATCCCACCTGAGAGATGAACAACAAAAGATCAAACAAAGATATTAAGGGAGGAATAAATATGATGCATGAGCTTTGTGTCAGCTGCTTCATGAGGTGTACACATACAGAACTACAGTGGAAGTTGTTTCCTCACCTGGTCCAGACAGTGAGATCTGAGGTGGCAGAGGGCCTGCTGTAAACACAGGGGGAGAGGAAACCCACAGCGCTGGACATGGACTATAAGGGGAATACCAAACACACTCTTCTCTTTGTAGTCTGGCACTTTCATGCGCTTCATAAACTTTGGCACAGACCTGCCAGCAACAAACAGAAAACTATTAAGGAAGTGTGTGACAGAAAGAGCCGTCCATGTTTTTATGATCTTCCCATTCGTGTAGGCAACAGGTCAACAGGATTTCCCTCCAAGGCTCAGTAAAACGAACAGAACTGTTAATGACATGAGGGATGTGTTTGTGGTGACTTCTGGCTTGAAGTATGTAGTTAAGAACTGTAATCCAGTCGTTGTCACTTGCACAAGGACAGACTCACTGATGTTTTGCCAAATGCTTGAGGTCATGCATAAAGGTGTTAATTGTGCATATGGTCTTGCTGACTAAGAGCTCTAGTTAAACTGAAAGGCACCTTAGTTGACAAAAGGCATGCTGAGACTGTCGCATGTTGTGTCTCTTAGCTGGCACAGAAATTTAGGAATATTAAAAAAGCAACAAACAGTTGTTGTATTTGAGAATATGGTGGAAAACTTACTTTCCACGTCTTCCTAATGTTGCACATTTATATTCCCCAAACGATAGTCAAGGCAAGTGTGTATCTGTGTGTACCCACCACGTCCAGCCGTGTTTATTAGACATGGAGTATTTCTCCATGATGGCGGTGAGGCGAAGCAAAGAAAACTTCTGTAGCAGGCTGAGCTGGCCTGCTGATTGGCTGCTGATCTGCAGTGAAGATGCTGGTTGGTTGAGATGATCTGAAGTTCTGAAACTGGGCCATCGTAGACTGAGATGAGTCAGCAAAACAACGAGGCTATTAGACTTTAGTGAGATGATTTTGGCAAACTTTCAATTTATGTTGTTTTAACTGGTTGAAAATATTTAGGCCAACCTCCCCCCCCCCCACCCCCACCCCAAAAAAAAGACCCAAGTTGTTGCCATTTTTAGAAAGCTCCCACAGTTACTCACCGAGGTCTTGTGAGGGAGGCCCCAACTCCAGAGTCCCGCCTCTCCCGACTGGTCCCTGTTGAATCTGTGTCATTTAAGGAGACTGCGTCCCTCTCACCTTCGCTGGGGGTGGTCCTGCCCTCCCCATCTTCCTCCCCCATTTCCCCCTCAGGTAGCACCTTGCGGCTCCAGTGGTCCACTATCTGCTGCAAACCACTGACGTGCTGGACGATGTCATCCAGGTGGGGGAAAAGGTTGTCCTCTTTCTCCAAGTCCAGCAGATCTCCTGTGCTGGCATACAGGTGAGAGCCTGGCACGTTGTCATAAACACTCACCCTGCTGCCCCGTGGAGCTGCAGGACAGGCTGGTTTCAATAACGGTTTACCAGACCAGGGTTTGCCCAGTCCATTTCCAGTTTGAGCATGTGACTGGGGGCCATTTCTGCTGTCACTGGGAGAAGGTGCCAGGCTTTCTATGGACAGTGCTTTTGGAAAAGTGCCCGGTTTATGGTCTTTGGGGATATGAATGAGGAGGTTTTCATATGAATGAAAGTGGCTTCTGCCAAACTGACTCTGCCCATCAGTCCTCTTACCCTGAGAAAGTAACTCCATGTCCTCCAGGTACATGCTGCTTCTCTTGCTGGCAGTACGAGGTTTTGGACATGCAGGTTCCTGAACACTGAGAAGCATGGTTTCATTGCTGGGGCTCACACTCGGTGTGATCTGCTCTTTACTGTTGTCAATGAAAAAAACTGAGGATTCATCACCATCAGTTTGATCGTTGTCTTTTGGACTGGTTTGTAATTGGCTGATAGGAGTGCAATGAAGCACCTGAAGTGCCTGAGGCTCCTCTCCCTGTAACACTGGCCCACTGATGACCAGTGGCGGCCTCCGACTTGAGCCTTTCCTCCTTGTTGATGGCCCCCAAGTGCGCATTAATTCCATTCGGCGCAAAAATTCTTTGGCTTTACTTCGTCCTCCTTGCCCATGGCGACTGCCTTTGATTGGTAGGGAGTTGTAATGTGGAAGTTCCCTCGGTGGTTGATAGGAAGCAGAGAGAGATGCCATAGATATTGAGTCGGGCATAGCGGAGGTTGAGTCTTCACTGTGGAGCGAGGAGGTTTCTGTGATCTCCTGTTCGCTCAAGTCTGTTAGCACGCTCTCGCTACTCACAGTGCTTCGAAGACCCTCCCCTTGTCCTGTCGGGCTGCTCTCATTGGTGCTGTCTGACAGCAGGTCTTGAAGGCGAGACCAGCGACGACTGCTCCACTCAAATGTCCACCTTTTACTGATGGCCAGTGGGTCATCTTCATCAGAATCATCACTCTGTGGAGGAACAAACGTAAGGTAAAACAAATGTTAGTCACTATTTAAGTAACTATTTAAGTAATGTTGAGACCTTCTGAAGTGGGGTTCTGTGAAAACCTTGAGAAGAGCTATTGTCTTGAATGTTAAAGATATCGCTAAACAGTTTCAGATTTTTGAGCAGACTAAAAGGCTTAAAGCTAGTTTCAGAGGAACCGAGATCAAAATGGATTGGTACCATATTTAAAATATTTCAGTTTCAAAGATTTTAAGTAGTTCTATGATTGCTATATTTTATAGATTTCTACTGTCGTCATTTGTGCATTACATGGTTATTTACATTAAAATTCCATATTTATTTTCAGTACAAACAGTGGCAGCAAAAGTTAGCTGTAGCATTTCTGGTTCCTGTGGAACCTCAAGCAGGAATATCATAATATTTCTACTAGAATATCCATGTAATGTAAAAAAGTTGGTGGCTTAAATATTTATAAATCACTGTTAGTCCCCACGACATTTTAGAATGTGGAGTTATTTAAGACAGTAGCAATCCACTTTCATTTTAGCGTTAGCTCATCAGTTTGTCAGCATGAAACTTCATAACAGAAAACTGAGAAGTGTTATCTACCACAGGTAAAATACTGACTGTTTATAATCTAAAAAAAAAAAACCACTTAAATGTGAATTATCACTTTAAGGTTCCAAATCCAGACAAACAACATAACGATTTTACTTTGTTAGATTTTTCTACCTGGATTATTGAGCATACATCAGAATATTTACTTGTAGTAGTTTTTGGATTTATTAGAAGCAAATTTGTAGGTAAACTGCTAAACTAAAATAAAAGTATTTGCATGGACATATTTAGCAAATTATCTGTCGTTATAAGGTAATACTTTAACCTAAATAATAAAAAATAACTGAAGGAAACTTAAGCTGTGTTAGAAATTCACTGGAACTAGATCAGAACCACTTACAGCACCATAAATACTTTAGAGGATGGGCAAAACTGAAACTGAAAAGTTTTCTGCTAACTTTAGTCAAAACAAAAGTGAGTACACACTTGTGTCCTAATACCTAAATGTCAAATTGTACAACTTCCCTTTACAGTTGTCTTGCTGCATTAATAAATACCACAACATTCTCATCTGTATCCGTCAGCATTACTTTTTACAGTACGGTTCAAAGCAACTAAAGGAAGCCAATTGACTCTTTGCACAATATAAATATATATAGAAAGATCAGCAGCAAACTATACATGTCAGTGGAAACATATTTGTAGCTTTAGTCAAGGACTTCAGAAGGAATCATAGCACAGTTAATTAGAGCTGCAGTGGGTGTCTTCAAAGATGGTGCCACAAACTGTAAGCTACTTGAGCAATTTAGTTATGAGACACAGATGGGCACTTTCTTCAAATGTGGCACGGAGTTTATAAGAAAGTAAAAGTTAGACAATGTGAAGGATATTTTAGCATCAACTTCTGTAAACAGAAGCCTTGACTTGCTTTTTGGTTGCTTGTAGTTGAAAATACAGTTTTAGCTAAAAGGAAAAAGTATCCTGATGAATTTTCCGTGTATAAATTTTGTGCAACACAACACTCTGTTATAAAAAAAGTGTTCCAATTATTTAAAAACAACAACATTTAAAAAAATAATTGTAACAAGTTCCTTTTATGAGACTAGTAATTTTATTAGAAGATTGTAGACAGCTTTGATTTCTAAAACTAAATGCTCTTCATTTCAAACTAAAAACTGTTCTGAGGTGATGACATTTAAAAAAAATGTATTTAACATTTATTGTGTAAGAATGCACTCATTTTTAATACTAATGAAAGTAGCAGACATTTAAAAAAATGTTAGTAAGTTTAAAAAAGGCTTACTTTCTTCTTAGGATGGCTGACATCAAGTTTCAAGGAGGCGCACTTGTTCAGAGTATTTAAACGTCTGCAACACACATACAGAGACACGTGTTAGCACGAACACTGGCAGGCACATTTTTATTACGGTATTTGGTTTTATGACTTTGGTTATTTGTGCACTGTAAAACCTCTCACTTTACCTCTAAAATGTTCCTTTTTAAAAACTGCTTTCCCTCTTTGATTCTTGAGTCTGATTTGTCATTGTCAGTATGATTCCTTTTTAATATTCTTTTTAAATCCTTTCTGACTGTGTGTATGTGTGTGGTGTGGGTGTACACTGTTGATCTAGTCATGTAGATATTTAAAATGTTCACTGTATTCCCTAGGGAGTGTGTGGATCAACACTGGTTATGTTGCTTGTGATATGTGGATCAACTGCATCTCAGCAAGCTGGTTTTGGTCTCATCAGACTGACCCAACGTCAGTTTCAAGTTTTATCAGTTTCTCCAAAAAGGCTGGAGTGCTCAGCTGGAGTCCAAGTGACATTGTGGGCTTTCCACATTTCCCACCTAGTAGTGCATCTTTGTTCATTTGCAGCCAACAAGTAAGAGCAAATCATAGATACAGAAGATGAACCTGGGAGAGGACTTTTTAACTGATCAGAAGAAATAATAAAAAAAAGCAGCATTCAAGAAGTTTCTACTTGTCTCACCAGAGGCTGACATGCTGGCAGAGGACATGAAGGGGAAGGCAGGGTCTAAGATGGCCCAGCCCATTTCTAAATTAAATCCACTTTGGAGGACATGCAAAGAAAAGTTGGATGAATTGAAAAGCATCAAGGACATCACAACCAAAGACAAAGAACTGAGATACATTCAGTATAGCTCAATTCTTATGCAGACACACACCCAACCACATGTCACGTTGGAATGACACAGTCATCTTTGTTACTCTGAATTAAAGGGGATACAGTTTGCTATTTTGAAAGAAGGGTGATAAACCATAACCCTCAGCACATCCCCTCAGGGCTGTGTGTTGAGGCCCCTCCTGTTCACTCTGCTCACATATGACAGCGCACCTACCCATCCGGACTGCTGCTGTTGTTCGGCGTATTGTTTATGCATTATTAAGTGTTTAGCATATTTCTTAGTTCATATCTTCGATCTTATTACTGTTTTTCTTTTACAATTTATACTTTGTTGGATGTAACTGGGACCCTGTGTACACAATTTCGTTCCACCACATGAGATGCGAATGACAATACAGACAAACATTGACCTTGAACATTGACCTTGATATTGTAAAGTTTGCAGTAATCATTTGATGTGCGTCTATAACTGATTAACTAGTCTGGTTAAAGATGGTTGCTACAGGTAATCAGTTGTAACAAACACAAAACTGAAAACAGCAAAAGCAGAAAAGAAAAAGTGCTAACAGATCTAATAATAATAATAATAATAATAATAATAATAAAAAAAAAGTATAATCGCAACATAGTTTACAAAGTTTGACCAAATTTGCTAAAACCTTTCCTTCTCTCCATCATTTGATCTCAGTTTAAGACTCATAAAAGGCGGTGGGTGATGTCTTTCTTTAAAGTATGCTAAGTATGTATGTATGCTTAAAGTATATGAATAAAGTATAATATATAAAGTATATAAATACTATGTGTATTCTCTTGAAATACAGCTGTGGAATTATCATTGCTGTAATTACCACACCCATGGAGAGGCAAGTGTTGACAGCAAAGCAAGAAAAAAAATAATTAGGAGGGGGTAAATGTTCAAGAACAGAAGAGAAATATTTGAATAAGAACAGGAAATGCAAGAATTAGGTCCCAGGGGTGTGTGGAACACTCTAAAAGCCATCAGCAGAAATATGCTGGCATCCCATCACTCCTTCCCCTCTTGCCCTCACCCAGCCACACCCCTCTATATTTTGCCCCCCTGAGGGTCTCTTCTCTTTGAATGGAAGATCAGAGTGTGACAGAAGGGAGGGGTGGTGACCAGATCAAAACCTGGGTTTCTGGGGGATTTATTAAGGGTGGGAGTCAGACATCTCCTGTTAGCACCAGGGAGTGGGGACAAGTTGATGTACTGAACAGAGATGACTTTGAAAAAATGACTGCTGTTGCACATGCACTGGAAGGGTGTGGAACGTGTCCTTACCGACACAAAGGCTCAACCAGGTCCCGGTCCAGGAAGTCATGGTCCCTTTTGACTGAGGAAATATCGATTGGAAATTGGGAATCTGTGGCAAAGAGAAAAAAGGAATAGGCTTGTTAGTCATGACTGAATGACGCGTGACAGGAGATGAATGTTGTCTCAGCTGGTTAATGAAGTCTGGAGTGTGGTGCAGCTGCTGCCTCCACGGTTAGGGCCTGACATTTAAAGTTTTACCAAGCACATACACATTTCAAACCCCACATTTAAAAGGAAAGCTCAGATCTTTTGAAATGGGGTTTTGCTTAAAGATTATAAACAATTAATATATATAAATGACACTTTGAACAACCACTTCTGGAAAAAAAAAAGTTTCATTTTGCAACACATTTAAAAGTGTATTAGTAGCTCGCTGGAGTAATTCTATGCAGCTATTTCTGCCAGAAAAATGGTGTAATGGAAATAAACAGTGGCTTAAAAGGTTTGCAAAGTAATGTTTGCAAGAACCACTGAAATAATTTTTGAGATTGAAGTTGTTTTATGGTGTTAACAACACACTACTATATGGTCTCTCCTGTTCAGATTAGCCATCAGCTCATCAGTCCAGCTAGAATTAAACTCTACAGCACTGTTCAAAATGTTCGCTCGTTCCCTCTTTCACTAACTCGGTCTGTTGTTGTCACTATATAGAGGCTATAAGTAAAGTGCTATGTGTTGTCATCATTGTATGTTCCTATGCAATGGTGAAATTGGTTCTCTTCATTTAACCCATCACACCTGGGATACACCCAGGTGAAGCAGCGGGCAGCTATAGGGGAGAGTGCAGTGTTTTAACATTTTGAATACTACTGGAAGGCAGCCTACTTCATAAAGGTGTGCCAAGTATTCACAGTCAGGTGTTACATAAATATAACTCTGCAAGTTATGCTTAAATAGAGACCTGAATCTGAAGTGATAAACATAATTTCACTAGTTTTGGTTGAGAAAATGTAAATATCATCTGTCTGTAACACTGACAAACAAACAAATAAAGTTTGTGCCTAAATAATACAAATAAGCCACATAGCTTTATAGTAGTTCACATTGTGGTTTACAACATGATGCTAACACATTTACATTTAGACTGAAATGTTTTAAAATATAATTTCAGCTCACATGTTAATTTTTTTTAAACCCCACAGCTCAAACAGAGGAGGAGGCAACACACTTTACAAGAGAAATGTCTAGATAATTAAAGTCAATTTGAAAATCACAATAATGAGCTGCTGATGTTAGCATTAGCTTCAGTTAGCATGCCGTGTCCGCGTAGGCAGTAAAGCATTATGGTATCTAGAGCGATATATGTTAAGCACCTGTACAGAATAGTTGACTTTTTATGGCACTATGAGTGGACTTTTAAAAAACACAGCTTATTTCTTCAAACGGAAGTTGTGCCAAGAGCAATCTATAACAGGTAAGATATTGATTGCTGTCGCCAAATATCGGACCAATCCCTTTAACACAATTTAAACACATTGCAAAAATGGTTTGTGTGTTTTTATTCTGCTAATTCTTGTGTGTGAAGGCAGCAAATATCTACAACCTGACATTGTTGGATCTAAACCTTTCCTCAGAACAGCATTACTTGTTCTGCTAAAGAAAGACTGCTGGATTTTAAGGGTCTCTTTTTACTGGAGCCATTTCCTGTTTATTCTTCAAGTATATGAGACCCGATGACCATCACATGAGCAAACGCTTGTAGGCTTACAGAGATAAGACCAAGATGAGCAGCGAGAGGGCTGCAGGATGGGAGAGAGACCAATAAAGAATAGGAAGTCACATTTTAATAAAGAGATGGGTCAGAGAGAAAATGTTGCTGATTACAAGGAAAAAAGGTGGGGAGTAAAAAAAAAAAAAGAGGGAGAATGAGAAGCCATGAGAATCCCAGCAGTGATAAAAAGGCCTTTCCCATGACCCCTCCCTCTAGAGAGGAACTGAAGCCTGGAAATAGAATGCAGCGGTCCAGAAGATGGGTGATGGAAAAATGGAGGGACGGCAGGAAGAAAGAAACAAATGATAAAAAAATAAGGCAAAGAAAGAAAACTGAATATAGACAGTAAACAAAACAGGCTTCAAAAGATTTATTTTGTATGAAACAAGGCCGCTGCATAAAAGCTGGGCTCTAGCCACTCGAGTGTGTGTGTTTGTGTGTGTTACCTTCATAGAGCTGAGCGTATTGTGGAAATCCTGCTGCTTGAAGCCAATCACAAGCCTCCTTAGCCTCAATCTCTGTAAGCAAAAAAAAAAAAAAAGTAGTGCATCATTCCTAATCCACACATCTGTTCTGACGTTTTAGGCATCTGTCTGTAGCCCATATAAACTCCATTTTACATTACAATGGAAACATTTTCAAAACAAAAGTACTATGTTTGCTATTTATAAGACTGAGTTAGTTGCAGCGCCACAGACTGAAGAAGACTTTTGGATAAAAAACATAAAGTTAAGAAGAATCCGTCCAGAAGACCTGATTTAACCTTGTTAGATTAATCTACCTGGATTATTGAGCATGCATCAAGACAAAAGTACTAAGTGTTAAATAGTTCATCCCTATACATACATACTGTATTAAGAGGATACATATTGAGATATATTTTCCTCTGGAAAATCATTAGAATGATGAAACAGAAAATGATAGAAATCAGCCACATTATATAGCAAAAAAAAAAAACTCTGTTTATTCTGTAATCACAAATTATATCCACACAGACACACATAGTTCGTAATGGGTAAACGTAAACAGGCCTTCCACGCTGAACCACAACCCATTAAGCCCTGCCGCCAGCACCCCGAGACATTTTACAGGCTTCTGTTTTACTGCTTTTTTCCACTAACATATGTATTGCGCACATCTTACAGTGGCAGCTCTGAATGTGTGTACGGGTGTGTGTGCTTCTTTTTATGAGCAGATAATGCTTTTTGTGCTGACAAGGACATGAATAAACTGGTGACATCCAACTGTTTAGTTTCTAAGCAGCAAAATACAAGTTCAGAAAACACTGCAAGTCTTGTGTCACTCTTAGTGTTGCTTCCAAGAAGCCAGAGTTCCTTTAAGTAATTGTTACTAGCAGTCTGCCACAAAGGCATATTTATTATACTTCAGTAGAATAAAAAAAACTTGATTACAGTACTTTAAATATCTAACAAAGTTATGTCAGGTCATTCTGTCAGGGATGAAGATGTTCATATCCTTGATAGAGAGGAACGATGGTTTGAGAGAGGAGTGAAGGAGGCCATCTTTGTGGAGAGAACCTGTCCATCATTAAACAGGGGCGGAGGCCTCCGTGTTCAACTGTCCCCCCTCTTACAATGCTGTTATTGCTAGTATCACTCATCAGAGCACTAACGATCAGTTGTTAGGCTGATGGTCCTCCTTTATCATGTGAACAGCTAGTTTTGGCTGTCACCAGCTAACTGGTTGATCCAAGATGAGAAGGTACTATTTACAGTATAAGACTGAGTTTAATGCAGCTCCTTAGACTGACAAAGTTTTTTGGATTAAAGATGAAACGTTTCAACAAGTTTTTTTGTTTTTTTTAATCCATCCAGAGGACCTGACTTAACTTTGTTAGATTTTTCTACCTGGATTATTGCGCATGCATCAGAATACTTGAAATACACTATAACACGTCCTTTTAGACACTCAGTCACACGGTGCACATGTCAGAAGTCTGCCAACACCCACTCATTCACTCTCTCTTGTCACATTCACAAGTTTAGCAAATTACAGCTGAGCAAAAAAAGAAAAACGTTCCTGTCGTCGCCGTCAGAGATGACAAGAGTTGGAGGAAATGACACTGTCACCACAATCTAGCAATTACATCTCCTTTTCCAACATTCCTCTCATAGCTCTGTTCTCTAAATCGCATGTGAAGCAACACCAGGGACGACGGCGAAAACCTTTTTCTGAAACTAAACGAAAGGAGTCGGGAAATAGAAGCTTCTCAGCGACATTTTTCTTATTCAAACTTACTGGAACCTCTCATGGTGAGGAGTTGGAGATGCTCCTGTGACTCTGCGACACATCCATCCGATCTCTTTCCATCAACGATTCAGCACTTTCCTCTTCGTGTTCCCATGTGTTTACAGCTCTGCCTCCTTCTTCCAGCCTGCTGCATGCAGGGTTCCTCTCCCCTCTAATTTTCTACTCAACCTCCTCTCTCTCACTTTCATCGTTGTTAGGATCCACAATATCTCTCTGTTCTGACTTCCCTCTTTAGTTTGAAATTCCTAAATGATTCCTCTTCATCAACTTGGTCTCGTTTCCTTCCCTTTCATCTATAAATCCACTCAAACTTTTTTAACACTTGCTTTTCTGCGTTTTCCCCTCCTTCTCTCCTTTACCTTCACTCCCTCACAATCTTTTTTGTAAAACAAAACACTCCCTCTGACACTTTCTGTTTTCCAGTGAAAACAAGTCTCCCGATCCCCCATTAGCTCCTACAGGAAAGTCTATGCCGGCACCAGAACATCTGTGGGCTTGTCAGGTCCACGCAGGAAATGACCCATTTTAGCTGCTGTTTGCATCAGCCGGACCCTCGAGGGCCAAAGCTGACCACCACTAAACCCTCACTTCATATGTCTATGGAGAGCAGAAGCTTAAATGTGTGTGAGAATTCAGTGTGCTCACACACATACAGTAGGCTACACACACACACACACAAGACATTTTAAGTAGCCCAGATGTTGCCCCCAGTGAGTCAGGGAATGCAAAAAGGATGAGATAGTCAGAAGGCCGAAGGGGTGGGGAGGATGGACGGCCTTGTGGGAAAACCACAGAGAGGACGGCATTCCACACAACTTGTTTATTTACTCAGTGTCAGATTTTAAAATTCACTCAACTCTTTAGATAAAAAAAATAAAAAGGAGCAAATTAAAGGCCTACCATTCCATTAAAAAAATGAATGTGACCCACCGCCTTAAGGACACTGTCACCAGTTTGGTCAAACCTTAAAAACAACAATATCCACAGACTTGTGCTCAGAGCCTGTGTTAGGAATGACTTGCAGACACTATCATGTCAAACGTTAGCTTAAAATCTGTGCAACAGACTGAGCGATAGCCATTTTTGAATTCGCTAATTTGATTCATTGTAGCGGCCATCTTGAATTGGATTGTTGTCAGAGGTACTTTCAATGAAAACTTTCTTGGTGTTTCATCAAAATTTAACTGAGTCATGTTTTCCTAATAGGCCAACATGGTAGACAGTTATTGCTATAGCTTTACGCAATGAAGTAGTGCACATGTGTCAAACTCAAGGTTCGTGGGCCAAATCTGGCCCTTGTGAACATCATATCTGGCCCCCCAAGATGAAATTTTGAATGTAAAATATTTTTATTACTTCTCTTTTGGCTTAAAAACTGATAAACACTTCATGTCGTGCAGACATCTCCTTACTGTTTGCTAACTTAAAAGCCAGAAAAAAGGTTACATTTTTCAGTAATCCTTAATTTTGATGTGAAAAGAGCAACAGAGAACGTCAACTGAGACCGATCACAGTCTTGTTGATGAACCTGCAACCAAGAAAAGTTGTCGACTATCTGGCTTGAGTTAATGAATCGACTGAAAGAGATCATATCGCTTCAGTTTTAGCTTCTCTCCATTGGCTCCCTGTCAAATTCAGAATTAAATTCAAAATCTTACTTCTACAAAGCTCTCAACAACCTAGCTCCATCTTATATTCAAAATCGTATTGTTCCATACTTCCTAACAGAACACTTCACTCTCAGACTGCAGGCTTACTTGTGGTTCCTAGAGTTTCCAAGAGCAGAATGGGAGGAAGATCTTTCAGTTATCAGGCTCCTCTCTTGTGGAACCAACTTCCTGTTTCTGTCCGCAAGGCTGACACATTGTTCAGTTTTAAGACTGGGCTGAAGACTTTCCTTTTTGATCAATCCTATAGTTAGGGCTGGCTTGTTATACTGCCATAGACTTAGACTACTGGAAGATTTCTTAAATTGAATTGTTACAATTGAATAGTTTTCATTTGATACTATTTCCATCTCAACATGCGATTCTTGACCTGCCATTGTGTATCTGTTCCTCCTTCCTGTTCTTCTCAAACCCAGCCAGTCCAAGCAGATGGTCACTTGTCCTGAGCCTGGCTCTGCTAAAGGTTTCTTCCTCATGTGGGAGTTTTTCCTTTCCACTGTCACCTTCATGCTTGCTCAAGATGAGAGTGCTGTGATGGAGTTAAATTCAAAGCAGTCTGCTCCTCAGATAAATAAATAATGTTAAATTATTATTTTCATATGAATGTTTCTGTTCAGTGCCCTGAGATGACTCCTGTTGTGACTTGGTGCTATAGAAATAAACTGAATTGAATTGAATTGAAATTGGTTCTTGGCTTGGACCAAGTTTTAAATTTTGTCCCCCCGCTTTGTAACCCTGTGTGTTTTTTTTAGTTTGCCTGTAGTTTTTTATACTTTTTTGGGGGTAATCTTCTGTTTATGTTATTTCTAGTTTTTCCTTATTCTATTCCTAGTTTTTTGCAGAAACACATCAGTTTCAGATTATTTCAAATGTTATGTTTTAATTTGTCTTCACACATCCAAGCATGCTACGGTAAATGTTTCTAGTTTGCATATTTGCTTAAATGCGACGCCAGCCTTTCAGTCATTTCACTTGTGGAACACTAAAACCAGTAAGCTCATTAGTTTTAGCTCAACCTGTGCAACGTTACATACAGACATTACACACAAAATGTAACACACAGGTACATTTCTATGTTGGTTTGAAGTTATTGCTTGAAATGCACAAAATGGCACGCTTCATGACAGTTTGCTTGTTTTTGTTTGTGCAGAAAAAAAAAGTGGCTAATCTCCTGACAGTGTGGGAACAAAAGCACTGCTATTCATCTGTGTAGAATTTAATCAAGAGATTAATTAGTACACAAACAGTGCTATAAGTAGGACACAAAACACCACAATGCACACAGTCAGAGAGAGCTAATCCAAGCTGTCAACTGTGCATTTCCCTGTTTCGTGGCGCTGCAGCCCCGCTGTGGCTGAATATGGAACAACAGGCATGGAGACAATGGAGCTACAGCAGAGAAAGGCAGATGGTTGGTGTGTTCGAGTTCGAACGTGTGGTAGATTATGACTTTGGTTCTCTGTGGGGTTCTCAAAGGGGTAGATAACACATGTGCCAACAACTCTTACATAATAGGCATAACACGAGCACCCTAATGTCCTCGCAGCTTTTTTCAATCAAAGTTCTTCCCTCTGCCCTTC